GGAGCAGGCTTTCTCCTGCCCTGCATTCCCAAGGAGCAGCTTTCTCCTGCCCTGCATTCCCAGAGGAACACCAGGCCCATCTCCAGCAGCCCTGGAGCTCCAGAGGAAAACTCCAGCCTTGTGCAGGATCCCTGCTCCAGCAGAAGCACAGCTGGCACTGCAGGAGGGCTGAGCCCCCATGGGATGGGACTGTGCCACCCACAGGGCTCAGCTCCTGCTCTCACTCTGGCAGTGTTTTGGGGGTTTTTTGGTATTATTACATTTGTATTTTAGTTTTCCCAGTAAAGAACTGTTATTCCTGCTCCCATATCTTTGCCCGAGAGCCCCTTAATTTTCAAATTACAATAATTCAGAGGGATTCAAAATTATAATAATTAATTTTCCATTTCAGGGGAGGTTCCTGCCTTCCTTAGCAGACACCTATCTGTTCAAACCCAGACAATTTCTTGCCAGGGGGTGACTTTTGGGCAGCCCTTCCAGGGGAAGACAGTCAACAACATCTTCCAAGAGCAGTTTGAGCATCAAAACACGGGAATTTCAAATTCTAACTTTGTCTCTATCCAAATTTTCTGCACAGATCCACCACATCATCTTTTGTTGATAAAGAGACACTTTCTATCTCTCAGATCTTTAGCAGCAATCTGTGCCACAAACACAGGATCCTCTGGCACCAGGTCAGACCACACCAGCAGCACTGGCTGTTCCTTACCTGCTCCACCACCTCCCTCAAAGGTCTGCCCTCCTCTGTGCTTTCTCTTTTGCCCCAAATGTATTTTTTCTGTGTTTTTATCTGTGGGAAGAAAACTCTGATGAGACTGGGGGTGACAGGAGGCAAAGCAAGGCTGGACTGCAGAATGTGGGAGAAGCATCCACCAGCACTAGCCACCCCCAGAGGGGACTAAAGTGCTTTTCCTGCAGCAGCTGAAGACCAGCACGGGGCAGGGCTGGGGTTTGCAGCCACAAACCTCTTGCAGGAAACGTTCATTGGAGGCTTTGAAGTTCTTGAGCCAGACTGAAGCCTGCAGGGGCTGATCCAGCCGCTCTTTGTTGTAGGAAGACTGAAAAAGCTCCTTGCAGTTCTTCACCCAGAGATGAGCTGTCAGTAAAATAAAACTTGTTTTGATATTTTTTTTGGGTATTTTTAGTCAAAATAATGGTATGAGGTGGGGATGGGAGGGGTGTTTGTGCTGCTTGTCTTTACTCTGCAGCTCTGATAAGGAAAGTCACAGAATAATGGGATGGTTTGGGTGGGGAGGGACCTTAAAGATCAACCAGTTCCCCCCCTGCCATGGCAGGGACACCTTCCAGTGTCCCAGGGTGCTCCAGCCTGGCCTTGGACACTGCCAGGGATGCAGGGGCAGCCTCAGCTCCTCAGGGCCTCCCCACACTCACAGGGAGGAACTTCCCAACACCCCAGGCACCCCTGCCCGCTGGCAGTGGGAGCCCATTCCCCCTTGTCCTGTCCCTCCACTCCAGTTTAAATACTCTCCATTTTTCTTGCAGTCCCACTAGGTCCTGCAAGGCCACAATGAGGTGAACCCAGAGCCTTTTCTCCCCCAGGCTGAACAATCCCAATTTCTTCTCCTGAACGGAACAATCCCAACTCTTTCCTCACAGCAGAGCTGCTCCCCTGATCATCTTGGTGCCTCCTCTGGACTCATTTCAACAGGTTCATGCCTTTGGCACCCCAGAGGTGGATGCAGCTCCATCCTTCCTGGAGAATTGTCCCTTGGGATCAGAGGAGGCCACACAGAACCCAAATATTCTCTTTCCATGCTCATTAACAATGGAGAAAACCAAACTGGCCCAAAGGATGTGTGAGCAGGTGAAAATAACTAATTATGCTCTACTTTATTTGGGGGTTTTGTGTGTTATGAGCATTTTCCACTATGAAAAAATAAGGATAGATTGTGGTGGGATATCCTACAGCTCCCAATCTCTTCCAATGTTTGTTAACAAATGGAGAAAACCAAACTGGCTCAAAGGATGTGTGAGCAGGTGAAGATTAATTATGCTCTACTTTATTTGGGGTTTTTGTGTTTTATATTTTGTGGTTTGTGTTCTATGAGCCTTTTCCACTATGGGAAAACAAGGATTCATTGTGGTGGGATATCCTACAGCTCCCAAACTCTTCCCATTCCTGTTAACAAATGGAGAAAACCAAACTGGCTCAAAGGATGTGTGAGCAGGTGAAGATTAATTATGCTCTACTTTATTTGGGGTTTTTGTGTTTTATATTTTGTGGTTTGTGTTCTATGAGCCTTTTCCACTATGGGAAAACAAGGATTCATTGTGGTGGGATATCCTACAGCTGCTGAAGCAGCTTCCTTTGGTGTTTGGTGTGGGACCAGGGCCCTGGTTTTCTCACCATCGGGGACGTGCACCACCAGCCAGCCCTGCCTGGAGCAGTAGTGAACCACGTGGCACAGGGTCATGGTCTTGCCTGTTCCTCTCTCACCATCTCCAACAAGCCCTGTCAAGGAAAGTCTCTGAAAAACCACTTCAGTTTGTACTTGACTGTGATTCCTCCAGAAAGGGCATAAAGGGAGTTCAGAGCTCGACAAAGCAAGGATGGCACTTCACCCAGCAAACCCCAATTCCTTCTCCCTGTCCCCCACCCCACTGGGCAGAGTGGGGAGCCCCTTGCCCTGTGTGCTGACCCTGTCTGAAGGTTAAAATAAAGACAGGCAAGCTCTGAGCTCCCTGGAGCTCCTGCACGAGCACAGCCCTCGTGGCACAACCTCCTGGAGACCAGACCAGCTCAGGCTCACCACCCTCTCCCCTGCACGAGTTTCTTGTGTTTCTCTTCATTGCACCCCTCAAGTTCAAGGATACAGATCACGTATCTGACAGCAGGGTGGGCAAAGTTGGAGCCCTTCAGGTAGGAGAGGATCTCCAGCGCCGGCTTCCGCACCATCACCCGCGCCTCGTTGAAGGTCTGGATCTGAGGAAGGACAGCTGGGAGCAAACTGCCACCAGCTGGCTGAGCACAGCTGTCCCCAGCCCTGCTCCAAGCCTGCCTGGAGGCCCCCAACACCCCCAGCTATTGGTTTCTGGAGGTTGGGATTGAAGGCACCTGAGACTTCATGCTCAGACTTGGGTATTTATTATTTCTTCTCTGTGTTACAGCCTCACAACCATGAGCTCTGCAGCCTTTCATTAACCAGGCACAAAATGGTTAACTATCTCTTGTAACAAGGTCTTTTAAGACTAAACTATCCAATTAAGAAATGACCTAGATTATTTTCCCTTTTGACCCAATAACTGATCCCAAGGAGCCCCAATGCAGACTTTTCTGCCCAATTACAAAACATCACCCAAACCCAGGAAGAAGAATAAAGGTGAAGAAGAAGGAAGAAGAAGGTAAAGAAGAACAACCTGTCTCTGCTCTAAAACTTTCATCTTGCTTCACATTTATTTCTATATTCTAAAACCCCAACCTTTTAAGTTTTCTACTTTGTGATATTACACACTTCTAACCAACTACACAGGTAACTGTGGGTTTGCACAGGTAATTATGGATTTGCACAGGTAATTGTGCATTTGCACAGGTAAGGAATCTGTTCCTGACTCAGGCAGAGCAGAGCCTGGCACAGCTCCATCTGCCTCATCACAAATCAGGAGATGAGGCTGCTTTGCTGCAGAATTTCGTGAGACAGCCTGTTTCACACAGAAATACAGCATGTGGAAGAGGTTTTACAGTGACTTTGTCAGCCAGAGAGAAGTTTGAGAAGAGGATCCATGTTTACCCCTGAAAGAATTTTCTACCAAGGTTGTTGACATAGAAACCAAGAAAGAAAGAAGGACAAATAAGAGAAACCTGTAACTGTGAGCACTTTGTTTGTCTTTCCTGACCAGTGAGTAAACTTATGAGTTTTGTAAGAATGTACAAAAAGCATGCATGCTAGAATAAAAACAGTCTGAAGCCTCCTGAAAATGGAGTGTTGCTTTGCATTGTCTCCATCTCAACTACAACACAGCCATGGAAAATATTTCTGTAATTCATTTTGTGCTTGGATGTTAGAGATGAAAAACACTGGAACAAAAGTTGCTGAGGTGGAACCCTCAAACTCTTCTGCTGCTGCTCTGGGTGGTTGACTCATCTCTTTTAGATGTTGAAAACACCAGGAAGGACCAGGAATAACTGCACTCCTGCTCTCTCTCATTCCATCAGAACATCACCGTGGATCTGGTTCTTGCCACACAGAACCATGGAATGGTTTGGGCTGGTTTAAGATCATCACCTCCACGGGCAGGGACACCTCCCACCATCCCAGGCTGTTCCAAACCCCCTCCAGCCTGGCCTTGGACACTTCCAGGGATGCAACCCCAGCTGCTCTGAGTGCATTCCCTCCAAGCTGCAATACCTGCAAGGAATTCTGCAAGGAATACCTGCTGCTGGAAGCGATGGGGCAGCCCATGGGGGAACACAGCCTTCAGCTCCTCCAGGGGGATGCTGTACAGACGACCCTCGTGCTGCTCCGTGTGCTTGGCCTGCAAGAGAAAATGGCAACTGGCACCCTGGTGATGCCTGAACCTGGGCACAGGTGGCCTGGCAGGGTGGGACAGGAGGCAGTGCTCACTCACAGGCAATATTCTCTTACTGGGGGGCAGAGCAAGAGGAGGAAATGAAAATAAAATGGAATAAAGCAGGAGTTGTGGGGTCGGGACACTGCTGGCAGGTACTGGGGAAGGGGCTAAAGACAGGAGATCCCAGCTGGCACTGAACAGTGAAGGGATTCCCTGTGGTGTTTTGGGATTTCCCTCACCTTTCAAACCCTGACAGAGGCGTGGCACCCTTCTGAGTTACCTGCTGGTGTCACACTCCCTTTTTTCTCTGACAAAATGATGATTTCTGCCCTGGGTGCTGCCTCCCAGCAGTGATTCCCACGGTGCCATTTGGTTACTGAGGCTTAAAAACTCATCATTTCTTTTCCAGGGCAATAATTTCCAGTCCCTTGTGGTGACCTCAGTGAGCAGGGCTATTCCTCCACTGCACTTGAATCCTGCTGCATTTATTTCTAGTGTTTACCCTGCAGGTCTCACCATAATGACAGCAAGGAGCTGTTGCCACTGGGATCTGAGAATTTAATGCCTGTTTGTTCCCTTCATTATTCTCTTTTCCTGCCATGCAATACCTGCAAAGCACTTGCTTATTTCTTTTTGCTCAAGTCATCCTTTTTTGTGTCTTGTCTAATTAGGACACTAAACTCTGCAGCCCTTCCTGTGTGACTTTTAGCAGTTTTGTGTTAATCTTTGAAGCTCAGATCTTGTCCTGCTCTGCTTTCTGCATTTTTTTTCCATGGATTTAAAGTAAAACCATCCTCCTCTTTGTTCCTGTTTTATATAAAAACTGGCATTTACAACAACAAATAGAACAATTTCCTTGCTTTCTTTATGTGCCAGCATTTTTGTGTGCAGGTGTGACTTCTGCCTCTTTGGCCAGGAATATTTGGCTTTTCCCAGCTCCTGATGGACTCTTTGTGGAGCACTGCTGGAAGCTCTGTTGCACATCCATGAATTTTCTGGCCCCAGGATTGTTGTTAAGTCTCCCTTCCCTTCCTCAGGACAGATTTGCAGCCTTTCAGCACAAGACACACCTCTGCTCTCACTTTTTGCCCCTTTTACCCAGCAACTACCCCCTGTTACACCTCCCTAGGACACACAGGACTCTGTGCTTCCCCTTGGCACAGCTGCAGGATTTGAGGAACTCCTGATTCAAGGAATGATTTCTTGGAAGTTTGGTAACTCCAGCAAAGGGCTGAGCTGCTGGAGCTGCCAAACTGGGGGGGGTTCACTGTTCATTTCAAAGGAAATCTTTGCAACAGGGGGGAAATGATAAATCCTGGCCGTTCAGGAGGTGCCCTGCAGTAAGGAGCTGTCACCTGAGGAGAAGGGTGAAGTGACACTTCTTTTTCCCAAGCTTATTTCAAACTGTGCCTTCCCTGGAGCTCTCCTGTGGTTTTCCAGAAGAGCAGGACTCCAGAGCCCATTTTCATTCTCAGCTTCATCCCTGACTTGCTGCACGAATTCCTTCACTCTCCTACACAATGTGGATAATTTATCCTCACCTTTAGCCACTTGGAGCTTTGCTAATGGCAGGGTACACAAAACTGATGAAAAATTTGATGTTTAGTGGCTTTTTTAGTCCCATTTCAATGGGATTGTCTGGTGCAGGAGCTGGGGTGCCCCAGCCAGCCCGAGCTGGCCAAAGCCATGCCAAAGAAGTCAGAATGGCAGAGCCAGTTGCTTGGCAACCAAAAAAAAAGGCAGGCACAGGACAGTGGGGACAATGGTGGCCATCTGGCCTGTGCTGTGCAGTCTGTGGAGACTGGGGTCACGTGCAGCAGATCATCTCCTGGTTTCCATAGAGACCCCGGAGGAATCAGCACCGAGAGGAGAGGCTCCAATTACACAGCAGCAGAAAAGCACCTCAAAGGCTTCCTCCATTCATTTGCTGCCCTTCATTTTGTGCTCTGTGAGACACAGGGCGTGAGGCTGGAATTGTGATGCTGCAGAGCTGTGCTGAGGTCATCTGGGGTGTGGTTTTTATCCTCTTCACAGCCAGCTCAGGGAGGCCTTTCCAGGGAACAACAACCCTGGGGTTGAAATCGATGGTGATGAATTGATACTGATGAATTGATGGTGATGAATTGATGGTGATGAATTCCATTTCAACCCTGGAGTTGAAATTCATGGTGTCTGATGACAAGCTAAGCCCTGTCCCAGCTCCTGCAATCCCATCTGTGTGTCTGCCTCTCATCTGTGCAGCTCTGAAGGGATCAATACCCGTTCCCAGGTGAAGGGATCAATACCCGTTCCCAGCAGCTCTCAGGCTCCATCCTGAGCACAGCCACGGACTGATCCCTGCTTCAGGAGCTCCCACAGTGCCAGGCAGCCCTGCTGGCTGCCAGGATGGCCCTGGTGGCACCCAGGGCTGGCTGTGGGCAGGGACAGGGCTGGCAGGCACTCACCGGGTCGCTCTCGCTGGTGTGGAAAATCGCTCGGGGTTTTTCTGCTGGGACATCCTGGCTGGACACAGAGCTCAGGCCAGCCCTGGGCAGGGCACAGCCACGGCCCAGCTGGGGGGAAAACAAGGTGGGGAAAATATTAAAATGAATACTATATGTGTTTGTGTTAGAAAGTTATGCTGTATTCATTTTTTTAAGTAGTGCGTTAAATACAGTTTTAGGTTATGACATAATGTTAAAATAGAAACTGTGCTATGTAAGATACTTTTTTTAAAATAGAGGACTTACACCAAGATAGCAGCCACAGGACACCTAAATCTTTCAGAAAAAAAGAATTTATTTCTCCATTATCAGAAGAAATGAACTTCTTCCTGCCTCAGGCCAGGATTCAGAGGAAGAAGCTGACACTGCCCAGACAGAATCCTGTGTTGGAATGGAATTTCATTTCACCCAAAACACAAAACCGAGTTTTCCCCAATTTGCACAGAATTGCTGAAGATCCCAGTCCAGCCATGAAAGCCTCGGTGCTGGGAAGTGCCCACACCGAGGAGTGGCAGCACCCTGCAAATTCAGGCTGCCTGGCAATCCATGATCACCGCAATTACCACGGGATTAGTGCAGCTCTGCCCACCAGCTGATATTCATAATCACCCTCCCTGCACTGATTTCCCTGCATCCTGACTCTGGAGTGGCTGAGAAACCAAAGCAGCCAGCTAAGCTGATTAATTCATTTTTCCCCCAGACAGGCTGCTGATGCCTGCCTGCAAAGCCCAGCCAAAACAGGCAAGGAAGTGAGCAGTGGCAGGACAAGCATTTTATTATGCTGTGGTGAAAGAAAACACAAACATTTGTCAACCATTTGGAAAGTGCATCCTCCAGACAGGCTCTGGGAGAAGCTGAGAGCTCCTTGCAGCACTGACAGGGCCGGTTGCAGCTGAACAGAAGCAGCAGTTCCCAATTTTGTCTGTCTGGGTGAGAGCAGCAGAATGCAAAGCTCAGAGGCAGGGACAGCTGGCACAGCTCTGCTGCCACCCCGGTGCTCCTCAGGGGGACACAAGGGCTCCAGGGAAAGAGGGATTTAGGCACATTCCAGATGCCTGAATCAGCATTTGGGCGCTTGCCCTCCTGGAAGGGAAGGAATGAGACCAGCCTGGAGCCTCTGGAACAAACAGCTGCAGTGCAAACATTGGGTGATGTCTGGGAGATCACCCAACACATCTTGTTCCCACGTTGCCCTTTTCCTCCCCAAATCCAAGTGATCCTTTAGGATGGCTTATTTTAGTTTAAAATCCACGGAGGTGACAACTTACAGCCTCGAGCAAGGCACAAAGATGCCAATTTAAGACATGAATAAATACAGAAGGCGACTCTTGTCACCTGGTCACCTAGGAAATGTCAGCCTGGAATCAGAATCCCTCTCATTTCCCTTGAACAGGGGTGCACAGGAGCTGTGGTTGCCTCTGGAAGCACCAAGGCCAGGCTGGAGGGGGTTTGGAGCATCCTGGACTCAGGAAGGTGTCCCTGCCCATGGCAGGGGGTGACACTGGGTGTTGTGTGAGGTCCCTCCCATCCCACCCATTCTGAGCTCCTGGGATCCCACGTTTTCTCCTCCTCAAGCCCCAGGTGAGGGCTCTGAGCTCCCTGCCCATCCTTTCCCAGGGGTATCACACAAATCCTCAGCCCTGACCACTGCAGGGCTGAAGGAACGAAGCAAGGATGAACTTCTTCCTCTGTGCTCAGATTTTGGGGATGTCCAGGCACAGCCTTGAGCTGAATGATGCTTCATCAAACCAATGTTTAAAAAGCCCAAACAGAGCTCAGCAGGATGTGAAATCTCCATGGGACACAACCAGCTCCTTGTGAGTTTTCTGAAGGGAGTGGAAGTCAGAACACAAGTCCAATCCTCTGGTCTTGCAGCCAAACATTATATTTCTATTTTTTTCCATCAACACAGCACATCCCAAATGTAAATGACTCCACCTGTCCCCTGCAATGACATTATTTTACTGTCACCTGCAGCCTTAGCGCCACAGCTCTTTCCTGGAACCTCGTGGTGCTTTGGGTGGGAAATGGATTTATACAAAATTCCTAAAACTTACAGGAGGTTCACACAGTGTGTATTTGTATGTAAAATCTGAGATAAGAAATGCTGATTTAGAAATGTTACGGAATAGGAGAGACATTGTTGAGAGAGAAACTAAAGCAGAAATAAGTTTTGAAAGACAGCTTTGCAAATAAGAATAAATACTTTGGAGAAATAGAACTATGAAAGATGCATTGTATTAAGGCTCACGAGGGGTAATTTTAGATTATGGGTTTTAAAGTATTTACAACACAGTGTAGTTAAAGTTGATAAGCTAAAAAGCACTTGCAGTGTACTGTAATTAGGATTTAAATTACACTTCAAATTTTGGACGCTTTGGAACTTTGCCACAGTGGGCTGTGTGTGTGGGAGCAGCTCCCAAGCACCTGGAGAGAGGGAATTACTGCTGAGGTGCTGCAAAGTCAGCACAGGCAGTGAGTGCAGCCCTGCTCACAGCCGTGCTGAGTCCCAGACTGTTTCCATTACAAAATCCACATTTTAAACCGCCTACAGATGGCTCAGGACACCCCTGCTGAAGCACTTTACCTCCTGAGTTTATGTATTTATATTTTACCCTGAGTTTAGAGCACCAGGGCGCTGGGTCCCTCCTCCTGAACAGAAGCTCAGCATCCATCCCTGGGCTCTGGAAGGTCAGCGACAGCCGGAGCTCCCCGTGCAGCTCTGCACAGCCTCCCCCAGCGCATCCCCATCCCCGCAGCCTCTCCCGCGCCGTTTCCCGGGAGCGGGGAGGGGATTTCGGGCTGAGTTTCCATCTGCCAAAGGACAGGAGCCGCCTCTCCGGATCCCTGAAATGGCAGCGAACCATCACGTGGTGCCCGGGATGAACCGGGAGCGCCGAGCCGTGAGGTGGAGCTGTTCCCGCATCTCCGGGCATCCCGGGCTGTTCCCGCATCTCCGGGGATCCCGGGCTGTTCCCGCATCTCCGGGGATCCGGGGCTGTTCCCGCATCCTCCAGGGATCTCCCGGGCATCCCGAGCTGCTCCCGCATCTCCTACGGATCTCGGGCTCAGGAAATGCTGGGCTGGCCCCGCATGATCCAGGGATCCCGGATTCTGGGAATGCCGAGCTGTTCCTGCTTGTCCCATGGATCCCGGGCTGTTCCCGATGTCCCAGGGATCCCAGGCTCAGGAATCCCGGGCTGTTCCTGCATCTCCCGGGGATCCCAGGCTCTTCCCTCATATTCCACGGATCCCGAGCTGGTCCCGCATGATCCAGGGATCCCGGGCTCTGGGAATGCCAGGATGTTCCCGCATCTCCCACAGATCTCGGGCTCTGGGAATGCCGGGCTGCTCTCACATCTCCCGGGGATCCCGGGCTCCTCCTGCATCCTCCAGGGATCTCTGGGAATCCCGGGCTGTTCTGGATGTCCCAGGGATCCCAGGCTCTGGGAATGCTGGGCTGGTCCCTCTTGTTCCACGGATCCTGGGCTGTTCCTGAAGGATCACAGGATCACAGGCTGGTCCTGCATCTTCCAGGGATCCCGGGCTCAGAAATCCCAGGCTGTTCCCGCATATCCCAGGGATGCCAGGCTCGGCAATGCCGGCTTGTTCCCAATGTCCCAGAGATCCCGGGCTCAGGAATGCCGGGCTGGTGCCACGTCTTCCAGGGATCCTGGGCTAATTTAAAAAGTAAAAGCCCATGCCATTAAAATAATAATAATAGCAACAATAATTTTAATAATAATAACAATGACAATAATAATATTAAGCCCATGCCATTAAAATAAAAAATAATAAAAAAAGCCCATGCCATTAAAATAATAATGATAGCAGTAATAATAATAATATTAAGCCCATGCCATGATAATAATATCAAGTCCATGCCATTAAAATAATAATAATAATAATTATTAATAATAATAATAATGATATAACGCCCACGGCATTAAAATAAAAATTACAAATAGTTTTAAATTGAAAAAAAATTTAAAATTAAAATTCCAATTTTAATGGAATAGTTGAACAGAAAATAAAATTTTCAATTTTTTAAAATCCCCTTTACCAGGGGCTTTTCCACAGAACCTCCCAAGGAGAAAATGCTGGTATTTCCCACCACAGACGCTTTGGGAGCTCTTAGTGCAGTAATTTGCACCCAAAGGGAGAATTAATTACCTGAATTAATTACCTGAACTGCACAGGAGGAGCAACCCCACAAGGCAAACAAAACCCTCCAAACTGGAGATTTTATTCCTTGTAAAAGCAGCCCAGCAAACAACCCCCAGTGCTTCCCCAGGGATGAGCAAAGAGGAATTTTTGTGTGTTACCCCCTCGGGGGGTGCCCAGCAGGGACCCTGCAGATCCCAGGGATGAGCAAAGAGGAATTTTGTGTTTTACACCCTGGGGTGCTGCCCAGGAGGGACCCTGCAGATCCCAGGGACAGGAACCTGCTTCCCAGGGATGAGCAAAGAGGAATTTTTTGTCCCAGGGATCCCAGGCTCGGGAATCCCAGGCTGCTCCCAATGTCTCACAGATCCCAGGCTGTTCCTGATGTCCCAGGGATCCCGGGCTCAGGAATGCTGGGCTGCTCCCGATGTCTCACGGATCCTGGGCTGTTCCCCATGTCCCAGGGATCCCAGGCTTGGAAATCCCAGGCTTTTCCCAATGTCTCACGGATCCCAGGCTGTTCCTGATGTCCCAGGATCCCAGGCTCGGGAATGCCAGGCTGTTCCCGATGTCTCACAGATCCCAGGCTGTTCCTGATGTCCCAGGGATCCCGGGCTCGGGAATGCCGGGCTGTTCCCGATGTCTCACGGATCCCAGGCTGTTCCTGATGTCCCAGGGATCCCGGGCTCAGGAATGCCGGGCTGCTCCCACAGCCTGCCCAGGGAGGGAAGCACCGCACAGCCAGCGCTGCAGCAGGCAGAGCTGCAGCAGGCAGAGCTGCAGCAGGCAGCAGTGCAGGCACAGGGCCGTGCTGGCGGGGAGAAGGCAGAGCAAACACACAGCTGGAACTCTTTTCCATCAGGAAGGCGCTCCAGGCCTGCTCCAGGAGCTCAGGCAGGCTCTTGGGCAGCGCAGGGCTGCTGTGAGCTGGGGCAGTGACAGCACCACACCCACCCGAAGCACCAAGCGCTTTTTGGGTCAGAAAATGGAAAACAAGAAAAGGTTCCGGCCCCAGAGGGTGCTGGGCACAGCCCCAAGGGGAATCTGGGGCTCCCAGCACAGGGGGATTGCTGAGCGTCCAGGGGCTGGACTCCCTCCAGCTGGGAATACCCCAGAATTCTGTGATTTTTGGTAAAACTCTTCCCAGCAGCTTTTGTGCAAGGCTGGTGCCTTGCTCCTCTGGACAGCCCAGCCCTGCAGAGCAGGTGGAATAATCCCTCTTTTCTGAGAAACACCTGAGTGGAAGGGGCAGGGTGTGAGAGCCAGGGAAACGTGGGAATGCTGGAGCTGCTCTTCCCTTAATCCACACTGGGAGTTCACCCCCCCAGCTCAGAGCAGCCACCAAGATTTTGGCTAGAAAATGTAAGAATCTCACTTTGTGCAGCTGAAAACTGTCATTCCAGGCCACAGGAAAGTTGAAATATTGGAAATTGCACACAGGACTCACCTTCACAGAATGGCACACGAGTCCTTTCAGGCTTCTCAGCATTTTCCTGCAGGAAAAAAAAAAAAAAAAGTGAATATTTGATTTATTTTTTGTTGTACCTGATTATTTTATGCTGAGAGAAAACTGTTTGAGTTGAAAGACCCCTCATGACAAAGCACACAACTAATTCAGAGCAAGTGTCAGATGCTCTGCAGTAACACAGCCTGCTGATCAGCACCACTGGCTTAGGAAAAGCTATTAATAAAAGAAATAGCAAGAATAACAATAACAATAATAATAAGCCTATGCCATTAAAATAAAAAAAAAATTAAAAAACAAAAAGCCCATGCCATTAAAAAAATAATAATAATAATAACAATATAAAGCCCATGCCATTAAAATAATAATAGCAATGAAAATAATAATAACGACAATAATATTAAGCCCATGCCATTAGCAGATCCCAGGGATGAGCAAAGAGGAATTTTTGTGTTTCATACCTTGGGGTGCTGCCCAGCAGGGACCCTGCAGATCCCAGAGGGGGGAACCTGCAGATCCCAGGGATGAGCAAAGAGGAATTTTGTGTTTTACCCCTTGGGGGGAGCCCAGCAGGGACCCTGCAGATCCCAGGGATGAGCAAAGAGGAATTTTTGTGTTTTACACCCCGGGGTGCCCAGCAGGGACCCTGCAGATCCCAGGGATGGGACCCTGCTTCCCAGGCACAGCGGGGTGAGAGCCACACAGCCCTAATTAGGGAAATAGATTAAAATTCCCTGATGAAATATGGAAATAGTTTAAAATTCCCTGATGAAATATGGAAATATTTTTAAATTTCCTGTTGAATTACGTTCATATTTTTTAAATTCCTGTTGAATTATGGAAATATTTTAAAATTTTCTACTGAATTATGGAAATATTTTAAAATTTCCTGTTCAATTATGTTCATATTTTTTAAATTCCCGTTGAATTATGTTCATAGTTTAATTTCCTGTTGAATTGTGTGCACATTTTTAAAATTCCTGTTAAATTATGTTCATATTTCTCAAATTCCCGTTGAATTATGTTCATATTTTAAAATTTCCTGTTAAATTATGTTGATATTTTAACATTTCCCATTGAATTATGGAAATATTTTAAAATTCCCTGCTGAAATATGTAAATATTTTAAAATTTCCTGTTGAATTATGTCCACATTTTTTAAATTCCTGATGAATTTTGTTCGGGGGAAAGCACAAACTGCTCTTTTTCCTTTTTTTTTTTTTTTTTTTTTTTTTGCTCTGGGTGTTTTAGTCCCAGGGATTACTGCACATACAATTAATTTTAAAATTAATTTCTCCTCTTTTATGGCAGCAAACAAAACACTATTTAGCTAAATAAAACACAATTTTGGTTTGGGATTGCTGTCGCAATTCCCATCATGTTGTGAGCATCATTCCCAAAATATGAAGGATGTGGAATTGTTGGAGGAAGACTAGCAGGGACAAAAATGTAGATAAAAGGGCTGGAAAAGCTGGGAATATTCAGCCTGGAGAAGAGCAGGGTCTAAAGGGAGATGGAGAGGAATTCTTCATCAGGAGCTGGAGTGACAGGACGAGGTACAGAGTGACAGAGGGAAAATTTGGGTCAGTTATTAGGAAGAAATTCCTCCCTGTGAGGGGGAGGAGGCGCTGGCAGAGGCTGCCCTGGGTCCCTGGAGTGTCCAAGGCACGGCTGGACCAGCCCTTGGGTGATTTTGTGAAAAACTCCAATCATTTGTTGTTAAAATTTTAAAAGTTTAATAGTAATAAAATGGTTATAAAAGTAGCAATATAGTTAGAGCAATAAAAATCTGGAAAATTTGGATTAGGACAACACAGGACAATAAAAACAAAGATTTATGGACAGTCCAGGTACCTTTTTCTGGGGAAAATAAGCCCAAAAAAGGACCCACGTTAACAGAGGATTAACCCTTTAAAGCAACAGCCTGTTCATGTTCACACAGCTCATCCATGGTGCACAAATTCCATTCCAACACAGGATTCTGTCTGGGCAGTGTCAGCTTCTTCCTCTGAATCCTGGCCTGAGGCAGGAAGAAGTTCGTTTCTTCTGATAAAAGAATAATAAATTATTTTTTTCTGAAAGATTTGGGTGTCCTGTGGCTGCTGTCTGGTGCAAGTACCTCATTCCTCTCTTTAAAAAAA